TTATGAAACGTGTGATGAGTTCTTGTGAGTTCTCGGTGCAGCTATGACACTGCAAGCTATAAAGTACGAAAGGGGAAGCCTTGAAATACTCAACCAGTTACTTTTACCTAAAGAAACTCATTACGAACCGATCCACAGTGTACAAGACGGATGGCAGGCGATCAAAACAATGAAGGTTTAAATTAACAGCTCATAGCTTAGTAAAATTAAGCTTAACTAATATGATGAATAACTTATAGAAGATTCTAAGAATGCCAGTTATATATGAAAACGTATGTACGAGTGATAGTCCCTTGATAGATRAAAAGACAGTGCAAACTGAGAATTGCTTGAATGCCTGATACAAATTGTACCAAATCATACTAGCATCTGCACTGCATTGATTGTATAAGCCATTGTCTACATGTATAATTTTGCTGATTAAATGCATTTGTAATAATTGTAGGTTCGTGGTGCCCCAGCCATTGCTATTGTAGGTTCTTTGAGCCTTGCAATAGAATTGTTGCCGCAGTCTTTCCATACTATAGATGACCTAACGTCCTTTGTCAACAAAACCATGGAGTATCTCACTACCGCTAGACCAACAGCTGTTAACATAGCYGAGGCTTCTTTAAGTCTTCGTCAATTCATGAAGGACATGGGACCAGATACTAATGTAGAACAAGCCAAACTAAAACTAATTGAGAAGATAGAGGCAATGCTAGATAAAGATCTTGCTGATAATAAATCCATAGGTATATYTAAGATTATTATTCTCTATACATGTATAAGACTAATAGATCCAAGTATAAAAAACACAAAAATATAAACATACTGTTAATTGAAAAGACAAGTAAMATTATTGTAAAGTCTTGTTGTCTTTTGTTCTTCTTCTAGGAAACTATGGAGCACAAGACATTGTTTCTAAACTCAAAGGCAAAGAAAAACTTCAAATTCTGACCCATTGTAACACTGGTTCCTTAGCAACAGCAGGGTATGGTACAGCTCTAGGTGTTATCAGAAGGTTACATGAACTGAACAAACTTGGACATGTATTTTGCACGGAAACACGACCTTACAACCAAGGATCACGCTTGACAGCATATGAAATGGTTTACGAAAAAATCCCAGCAACGCTCATTGCAGACTCTATGGTTTCCTTGGCAATGAAAATGAAAGGCATTGACTCTGTTGTAGTTGGAGCTGATAGGGTGGTTGCTAATGGAGACACTGCTAATAAGATTGGCACTTATCAACTTGCTGTGGCTGGTAAGCCTGATTGGTTTTAAAGTTTTACCCTAGTAAATGTAAACATGTTAACTTATAGTGTGCATTGTTGGTAATTTAAACAAATGGAAAAAAGTGGCTAAACACCATTTATTGAAGTTAAAAGTGCAAAATAGTTTAATGATCTGTTTTTTGAATTAAATTAAATATTTGACAATTACCATATTAGCCGTTATCAAAATATTTTATATTTCGCAAATACTACTCTAATCATATGAGCAAAGTCAGACGGAACAATGCTCACCAACTTGAACAGATTCCTACAATAGACCTGGATGATGTTTACCATGAARAACAGGCAGTTCAGATTTATCTTGGTTTAGCTTAAGGTTATAAACTCAGCAGCGTCCAGTGGTCATCAAGGCATGCTTCCAGTCTCGTACATGCCTTCTATAGGTCACCCATAACTTTTGACTCAAATGAGATATGTATATAATGCGTTTTATCAGCATAGAGATGATGCGACAGAAACCATGCGACACACCAGGACGATGCATTATGTATCCAATTGGAGATGCATTAATAGCAGATAGAGGATAGGCCTCAGCATGAAGTAGTGGTCCACTACAGCTCAGAGGACAACATGTTAAGCCACTAAGTTCAATGATCAAAAACTGTACATGTGATTGCAGAGATTTGAATCAGGGTCGTATGATATGATGCATAGGATCAATTTTTGAGCCAATCTTATCAAAGAATCCTTCATTTCCAAACAGGGTCTTCAATTTTCCATTGGGATAGTATATATAGTTACTGCATTCTCTTACCCAGATCTTCTTAGTTTTCAAGTGCGAAATTGAAAAATAAAATAAAGACTATAAAAATTGAAATTGCATGGTTTGCATTGTTTTAGAAGAGGTTTATTTCTATATTTTTGAAAGCAGTAGTTTTAATTGATCACTAGCATTTTATTATATTTCAGCTAAATACCATAACATTCCTTTTTATGTTGCTGCATCTCTTACAAGCATTGACATGACAAAAAAGACTGGTGATGAAATCATTATAGAAGAAAGACCAGCACAAGAACTTACCACTATCCAAGGTGTCAGTGTTGCAGCTCCAGGTATTGGATGCTGGAACCCTGCTTTTGATGTAACACCAGCTCAACTGATTTCAGGAGGGATCATTACTGAATTTGGGGTCTTTAGACCTGAAGAATTGAAAAATAAACTAACAAATGTAACTGCATTATTAAACTGAAATAAATATAACTAAACAAATAAGCTTCCTAAGTAAGGGTTGTAGTATTGTGAAAT